ACGACGCTCTTCCGATCTCCCCAAAACCCCAAAACCCCTTAATGGATATATTAGATAAATTTGAGATTTCAGAATAATTAAATAAACAAATGATTGAAAAAATATGGACTGAAGGGGAAATTTGCCGTTAAATGTATGTTTTAACAAACATAAGCTACTCAGAAAATTTGAATGCAGAGGTTGATACTAATTTACTTCATGAAATGCAGCTGCTAATTTCATTTAAGATGAGTCTTTGCTTACTACTATTTATGTATGTACTTTACAGTCTTTGCAAGATCGCCTTCAATTATAAGAGAAGAGATTACTTGACTACATCTATACAGATACTATTTGGATTAACTTTGCTGTGTAACTTATATTATTACTAAACATCTAAGTCAGGGGTATATCTATTGGAAGCAGCTTAATTGCTTAAAACAATCAAGATGATATAGACAAAAACTATGTAATCTTAGAAGTATTTTGCTATCTGGCAGATTTCTGCTTTTGCTCAGCAATACTGATAGAGCTGTTTCTTTGGTAAAACATAAGTTAATAACATTCTATAAGGTTTGATGTTGCAATTATGATAAAGTTTTAAGAACCCTCAATGTAGGAAAATCAGGACACTCTTAAGATAAAATTCAACAGATTCGAGAGAAAAATTGTGATCCTCCTCTTCCTCACATTGACCATTTTATTAGCGCTACTTTTGGCTAATGCTAGTATATTTTCATATTTAAACTCTATGTTTTAGTAATGCAAGCAAAGGAATGTGGAGATGATGCTGCTAAGTAAGCTAATATCAGTTAATTTAATATTTTCTAGAACAATGGACATAGTACTATATTCTTTTATGATAATTGCATAATCTATTGTAAGCATCTAGTTTATTTATAAGGCTTCATCACACAGAAGTGTTTGCTGGACAAATCAAAGAACAGAGGTAAAAATACTTAATAGTAAATATATTTGATAGACCTATTGCATTATTGCAGGAATCATAATTAGTTTCATTCTCAAAATTATTGTTAAGTGCATAGTTGGAAATTAGGCATTTCCAAAGGATTAAGATACTTTTGATGATTACAAGAAATTTTAAATAGTGAATTTCTTGGCTTTTGGTGTTTCTGAATTTGTTCCTATTGCTCTATGGACTGCTTTGAAAGCACCTGAAGACTTCTTTAACCTTTACAATGTTCTGCGTAAGAGATTAAATTTAAGGATTATTGCTATAGCTATTCAAAAGTTCTCAATATTCCAATCAAGAGGTGGTGAAGGTATGAAAGGTTCAAGACTTTCAGTTAAGAGTATCTAGGAAGATGACGATGGCAAAAATTCAATAGTCTCAAGAAATTCTGAAACTGATGAGTTACTCTATAATAGGCACAACGATGGAAGGTCAATCTGATTTATGATCCAAATAATAATTTCTAACTTGATAATATTCTGGCTTATCATAAGTTTTAATTTCATTGAATTAAACTTTCAATATTTATGATCTTTGGGGTTTTGGGGTTTTGGGGGTTTTGGGGTTTTGGGG